ATACTGTGTGTACTTTTTTTCCGTCCCATAAGAAAAATCAAAGTTGATGGTGGTTCCATGGAATCGAAACGCTGTAATTTAGAGAGATTAAAAAGTGCCAATGGAAAAGTGTTTTCCGTTTTTTCATATCTTTTCAAATAGCTTTAAAAAATATTAAAAACGAAATCGCAATATTTCGGTTTTTCTCGGATATTTCCGGAACGGCTTGGAATTTTCAAATTTGTAAAACGGGATCTTGTTCGGTATCAAAATGCGCAACTTTTGTCTAATTTAACCGACACTGTATCTCTTATAGTTTCCGAGATCCCCATGCTGTGCATCCTTATCTTGGACACACTGTATATATATATATATATATATATATATATATATATATATATATATATATATATATATATATATATATATATATATATATATATATATATTCACATATTGATTCACGGATGGAAAAATGCGATGACACTATATTCCGGGATATCATCCGTTCGCTTGTTGAACTCCGACTGGAATCCTGCAGACGTTTCGCCAAAATCTCACTTGGAATCTTCAATGCTCGTGCTCCGAAAACAGCAGCAGTGTTCGAAGTGTTTTCGGAGCGCGAGCATTGAAGATGCCAAGTGAGATTTTGGCGAAACGTCTGCAGGATTTTTCCATCCGTGAATCAATACGTGAGAATATATATATATATATATATATATATATATATATATATATATATATATATATATATATATATATATACATATATATATATATATATATATATATATATATATATATATATATATATATATATATATATATATATATATATATATATATATATATATATATATATACATATATACATATATATGATGACACTATATTCCGGGATATCATCCGTTCGCTCGTTGAACTCCGACTGGAATCCTGCAAATCTTGCATCCGACTGGAATCCTGCAGACGTTTCGCCAAAATCTCACTTGGCATCTTCAATGCTCGCGCTCCGAAAACACTTCGAACACTCGGAGCGCGAGCATTGAAGATGCCAAGTGAGATTTTGGCGAAACGTCTGCAGGATTCCAGTCGGATGCAAGATTTGCAGGATTCCAGTCGGATGCAGGATTCCAGTCGGAGTTCAACGAGCGAACGGATGATATCCCGGAATATAGTG